TCAATTAAAGGGTCCTGTCGGGTTAGTGTGGTTGCCCAAGTCATACGGTTGATGGCTTGGGGGGTTTCAAGTTTATTGTATCGACTGTACCACAAAAGTGTAATCCAACCATGGCTTTACGGTCTACTAAAAATCCATAAACCGTATGTCCGGTGAGACTGTTAGTGTACCCAGATTCTTGGCAGGTATTTTAAAACCCCTCAGCGGGAAATCAAGTACTTTAAATTATGATTTCATGACTTTGCCAACAAAGTTGCGGGTGAAATCGTGGAACCAGATGACATTATTGTAAATTTCGATGTTAATTCGTTGGACACAAAAGGGAACTTTCAAAAATAGCCAAGCATCTGGTACTGGCAGATACCACCCTTTCCGAACGGACAATACCTACGGAATATGGAATGGTGGAAGGTATAAAAGTACACCTGAATCTCACTCAATTCGTTTTAGACTTCATGGTTTACACTCAAGAACAAGGTCTAGCAGTGGGATGTGTGCGTTTATTTGAAAAGGGAGTCATCAACAGAAGTGCGATAGATCTGAAGTGCACTTAGTTTCACCCACTTCCCCTCCCTCCTCCCACAGCTAAATTGTCGTAGCACTCACAAGCCCACACACACAGCAGAAACCCCCAGATGAATCATCGGTTGAAGCACCTTGAAGTGGAAGATTGAGGAACCAAACCAGATCGGAACTGATTTCAAATTCCCCCGATCCACCAACCGTAAGATTTAGGCAACCACATCAATCGACAAGACCCTATAATTGACATTCAGCACTGATCTCGTGTGTTAATCTGACGTGGTCTTTTTGATTAGTTCTCCGTCTGCCTTAAAACCTGGCCAACCTGATGACCTGCTCACTTGGTTTGGTAAACCTTTTGTGTCAGTTGTAAAACTACCAAGCCCGTCGGAAAGGAAACTCGGATTCTTAGTCGGAATGGTCCCGTGAAAGCAGACTTTGCAACCGGGAGGTCGTACAGGGATAACGTTCGCTGTTTCAAAAATGTTTGCATTTCAGGAAGACAACCACATTCCAACCCTACACAATATTCGGGAATAACTGAGATTGACTGAGATTAATATTGTCACACTTGAATGTGGGACACTGAGACGTAACAATCACAAAAGATAAAAAATCGATTGGAAAAGTTTCTCAGACGAAAGGGATGGGATCTACAAGCGTCATAAAGCGAAGTTATTTAAAGTTGTTGTTTTCTCGAGAGAACCACTTCCTAATCAAGGTTCTTTGGGTATGGGGCGCTTGCTCGGGTGGAAATTTTGTATTTCAAGGACCATTTGAATGCCTTCCAAGCAGTTGGCCACTTCAAAGGTTGGCAAAACCAGATCCGTTGCTCCCTGAAAGTCGCGATGACAATACGTGGTTTTTCTCTTTTGCAGCACGGCCTTGGGGCTATATACTCCCGTCTGAACTAGAATGGCTGGGTGACAGAAAGTTGAAACAATGGTTATCTGAATGTCGCGGACCGTTAAAAAATGAATTCTACGATTTGACATTTTGCAAACAGAGGAAGTCACCAACCGTAATGCGTTGAAATCCAAGGAAACTATGGTGTATATATCGGTCAGTAGATATACTGATATACGTTATACATAGATAAGTTAACAACGGAATATCCCACAGACAAACTATCTATATTCATGCAGTCAGTGCTTCAATACGCACTTTATTACATCCGTGAGACGAACTGATGACAGCAAACGAAAATGCTTCCCACTGCAGCATGACACCTCTGCAATAATCCATTCAAACCGTAGCAACACAAATGTAGCTGACTTCAACTGTCACTCATCCTACCTATCATTTTCTAATTTTTCTCACACCGAAATGAGCGCTCTGCAGAACCTATTATTCAGGCCTACAGATGCCCACCCCATTGTTTCACTCAGTGTTTGATATCCGATGCCAATAAATAACAATCAGATGCCATGGTTTTTATGTTGAAACTGTGCATGACATTCCACTTAAACCAGTACAATAAACGATCATACATACTGGCAGAAAATGCTTTTTTTCGGATCTGCTACACAGAACGTGCAGTTACATCACAGGCTGCTGATGGGCTACTGCATTCAATCAATTGATTCAAATCCAAAACACACAAGCACGTCTATTGATTAACCAATATTGGTGAGTCACGTGCCAACCACGGTGTGCCACAGTGGACCACAGTGTCTGGATGAGGAATAACCATGAATAATTGCAGAATAGAGTTGACCACACTACCAAAAATAACGCTGAAGAGTCTAGTTTATACTAGGCGAAGTATCCATGAATAGGATGTTCAGTTGATTCTTGGGTACCCTGAATGAATCACGGTGTTTAATGCGTTGGGATGAACTGTTTGGCACAAAACGGCAAGCGAATTCCTTCAGGATAATGGCTTCAACTTCGACCGTGTTAATGTTCCGTAGTGTCTAGCCTACAAACACGGGTTTGTATTCAAAACTAAGGGGTTGACATTTTACCAAGGCAACTTGGAGTTTTCTAGCTGATAGTTGATCTTGCCGTATAAATTTCCCCAAAAAATATATGCATCGTTGAATTCGTCGATGAGAAGTCCCGATTTTTCAAAACAGAACATGAACTGGATCTCGCAGGGTTCTGACAACAAAGGTGATACATGCGAGAGCAGGGTTTTCGGTCAAAGACGTGGGAAATGCGCATTCCCTGGCGAGTGACCAGCCAAGTGTTACCAAATGACAGACTCTGTCGTAATTTATGAATAACTAAAAACAACTCATTCCACTATCTGTGTTACTAAATTCCAGCTGGTTTCCTAATTGCCATCTTTATTGGTCGTTGTCTTAACGTTTGACAACATATAAAAGCCTGTGTGAGGACTGTACCGCCCTATCGACCAGAACGGAAACTGACTAATTCACCTTTATTCGACCGGCTCTGGCACCTGAATGTCTGGGCAAATCGAACCGACTAACTGGATCTGGAATACAAACAGCATGCACGAAGAATTAGCCAGAATCACTGAACTATTGGTAGCGTATTCGGCCGTTCGTTTGTTTCCTGAGCCGGACAACTGAACTGTATTGACGGTAGTGTGAACAGATTTGATTATTTTCAATAGACATTTCATCCGTCAGACATCGTCAACAGTGCGCATCTCTGAGAGGTCATCATTCGAACAGCCAGTCCACACATGACAACGTGACGTGGTTTTTGTAACTTAAGGATGAGTAATTCCGTCTAAGTGAGAGATAATCAGGCCATTCTTGGACAAATGGTTAAGTGTTAATCAACCGGCCGGTTAGAAACTTCCCGAGTTTCGTGAGATGCGCAACAACAGGGATGAAACAAGTGTACAGTGCTTCCCGGCTTTTCAGCAGAGACTGTTGAAAACTGGACTGTGAATGTCTCCCCACCAATCGAGGTGAAACTATCCGTGCAGCGTTAAAAGCAGCTGAGAATGGAGTGGATCCATTTCCATACGTCAGTTGACTGATCCCGCTGCGAAGCTCCAAGTTTTGAAGAATTCCTTAGCTGACATAACAGCAGGCCTTCGCCTTCTGCAAATTAAATATATGGAACTTTGTCGATCAATGTAACACACCGATGCACCGTTCCGTAGACGACGCAATAATAACGGCACCCCGACTGGTTACGTAACGGTGGCAATCAAATCAGTAAACAAATCAATGCCAGAAGCATGGAAATTGTCACCATATTGCCTGCATCATTACAGCATCCACAATTAAGCTGGATTTACCGCTATTTGATAGACAACAATAATATTACGAAGGATGAAGTACCTGGAGTGCCCAATACATATGTGTAGAAAAGCATTCATAGAAAGTCATACACTTGTGTGTTGCACATAAACACAGGTACACTGGGTTTAGTGTGGGTTTTAGGGCACCACAATCTGTTTAAATTAATCCCTTAAAAATATAAAACTAGATCTTTAATTTTTATGAAGCAAACTACCACAAAGTTGGAAAGTCATACACTTGTGTGTTGCACATAAACACAGGTACACTGGGTTTAGTGTGGGTTTTAGGGCACCACAATCTGTTTAAATTAATCCCTTAAAAATATAAAACTAGATCTTTAATTTTTATGAAGCAAACTACTCACAAAGTTGCTGAAAACTCTTTGATAGCCCATGACCGGTTTCGCCCTTCTTCGGGCTCATCAGACAGACGCAGTACCCGAGTTGCCATCAACCTTATGTTCTACTTGAACCCAAATAGCATATCAGTTTGGTTCTCACGGGAGACTCAACTGAGCCTCTCAAACACCATAGCAACTGAAACTTGAGGCGGTCTTTATGCAGCACATTCAATCATAAATCAGCTGAGTCTCCCGTGAAAACCAAACTGATATGCAAATGGGGGCAGTTTTGAATGCTCACGTGTTTTGTTGATGGAAAAGCATACGTACATAATCTTCAAGACCGGAACCTGTAGCCAATTTAAAGGTGACCCTGCATGATTCAGACCCGGGTCTTCGAAGCGGAAGCCCGTGATAGCAACCACTGGGTTATTCGGACTAACAGCGAAACCCCCAAAAAGCAACTCCCTCCCACGAGATAAGAACCTTGGAAGTAAGCATACCGACAAACTAAACCATTTCCCCCGCTTTATTCCACCGGTACTCGTCTTGTGATACAGACTGCATCGAATGACAAACTGATTGGGCATTCTCTATTCTGCTCACTGCGGGATGCTCACAAAATCATGCGTTTAAATAGGTGGGCATTCTGAATGCGCATTTTCCTCTTTCGGCGTGCATAACTTCAGGCCCTAAAAATGCCAACTTAATTAGTTCATGGAAATTTAATTGTGTTAGACAATTGACTGCGGAGCCCATAGTCCACACGTGACTCGTGAGAAGCCTGTGCTTTCTGTGTTACCCATCAGTGGAATCATAACCCGGTATACAAACATCCTCTAGGACTCATTGAGATAGACAACGTGGGTGTGTATCACCCATCAAAAGCTGTTATCTGCAGTCGTTTTTACTCAATGTGAAGACTGATTAAGCAACTCTTGTTGACGGGCGTCACAATCAGGTGATGACACGCCAGAGAGGGAGCGCATCTCACTGAAACAATCTTTGAGGGAAATCAATAGTTTTAAGCCCAACAACTCACCATCAATGCCGCGAGCCGTTTGCGGGAGTAGGTCAGCTTGTGGGGGCATAGTGCGCGACTGCGATACCGAAACGCGCTGCACGTGTTCATCATTGCCAAACTTGTCTCCACCAGAAAAGTGTCGAAAACGTCGTAGGAAGTTATTGTACAAATTAGAACCCAATATGTCCACGTCCGGGTTGTCACTTGAATTGGGACAAGGTAAGAAAAATAAATGAAGGTGCAATGTATCAAACCACAGTAACGAGAATATCTCAGCTGATTCGACGAAACGTCCATAATGTTTAGGGTTGAAAATCAAGAACACGTGATAGTTCAGTAGTCTACTGGACGTCAGGGCTAGAATCAATACCCCCCCCCCCTGGATCTCACATCCAAGACACAGTTCAAAATTTAATCGATCACACGTTATGCCTTGTTTTAACCCCTCCAAACACTACTGATGAGTACTCAACACAAGCTAACTTCTGGCCCGAAAGGAGTGAATTTGCACTTTTTGGTTACGCTGAGGTAAACAAGACGAAAATTTCAATTGACTAGCTCGTTTGTTTTCTAAGAAATTTAAACCGGATTCAATTGTCCGTGAAACTCCACCAGTCTTTCCATTCCACTTAGAAATAAGATCGCAATCATATTTTGAAAACTTCAGGTAATTCACCTGCATTTTATGCTCTGCGCACGAAATGGTGGTTTAAAATAATCAGTTATCCGTGCACATACTTCTCAAACAAGTCAGACGCTCAATTTCTGGAGCCCTGCTGTCGGCGTCGCTACCAAACCCAACTACCTACACGAGTATACAAAAGGAAGGATTACATGACTGTGCCACCGAGTAGTTTACCACTGCTCACATCCAACAACGTACTTGCCATTACAGTGAAACTCATATCGACAGCGCTTACAAAGACTTTGGAAACCGAGTCAGATCTCATCTGTTCAAACAGATGCGTGGAGCACTTCGAGATGCGAAGATGAAATGCAATCGACCAGAGTAGTTAAGCTGATCAACTCACGTCATGTGTCGTCGTTCTGACTGTATGACTCCTCTTCCTTATTTAGCATTGTTTCGAAAATTTTGTGACCGATGAAAATGTGTGAAATGGGTTCATTCACATGCTGTGCTGTTCGAGGTAGAGAAAATTGCAGCCGAAGAGGGCAAAATTCGGGCTTTTTGACGAAAAAAAACCCAGCTGATTAAGCGTTTAGTCTCGTAAACGGACGTGGCAGGATCGATGGCATCTCGCCTTGTCTATCTGTTCTTCACCGACAGTGACAACACGCGATCAGCTGTTCCAATTGCACAGCTGAGAACTGCTTTCTAGGAGGTCAGTACCAGTTTGACTCAAGCGATCTTACTACATTCAACTGAGGAGTCGGGTTGAGGCGTTTAGTGGACTGCTTTTTATGAAGCATTTAAAATGGGACCTGAATCCATTCGGAATGTCTTAGCTCCACGGATGCGTATGGTACAAATGGCCGTTCTTACAGAGACAACATTTCAATTCTAATGTACAGGTGAACCTAGGGGAAATTCGCCTACAAAAGCAGACGTACCCGAAAAAATACAGCCGATCAATCGTTCGTTTGTATCCCATTCGTTTGGCCATTAATGCGAGGGTGTGTTCAGCGAAACGGAAAGTGATCTCACTCGGTTTACCCAAGAGTGAAGTGTACTGCAGCTTCCGTCCCGTAAACTGTCGATAGAGGGCTTGCAGGCAAGCAAGAAACGCTCCATGTCCGAATCGAGGCAAAGCCGCTTGATCCATATAAACTAGATCCATGTTACAAGCTATGACTGGAATGTGCTCCTCAGGTGGATCCGTGGGCACGTGATCTGGCTTCCCATTGGTCATAAGCAGATCAATCAAGAGTTGCAAGTTTGACTCCCAGCGTGTTGGTTCACCCAGAAGAATGATCGCTAAGTGAAAAAACACAGCGATCACGAGCTGATAAATACGTATTAATAAAGACCGAATTCGTGAAATCTTTTTCTCTCTCTCTCTGGAGACATAAAAAGAGGCAAAAAATAAAGGTATCGGCTATCGGAGTCCACAATGAGGACTTTTGTAATTAGTTAAACAGGCCATCAATAGACGGCGGGGGCAGGCACTAGTCTTCCCAAGAAGACGAAGGTGGTTCAGTTACGTAGAATGCTCACTTTCTGTCTAGGACACCTGAAGCAAGTTATTTTCCCGGCTTTTACCGTTGATTATAAGATCTGGAAGCTCTGATAGCGTGGTACGCATGTCGCGTGGACTTTCGAAACAGACGAATTTCCTTCTAAGCCCCCCAGGGTCCATGATCAGAGACCACTCCTCAGGACAGTCCACAGCAAGGAGCTCCTGTCGCACATCTACCTACGGATAAACCATCGCCAGTCCACGATTTTGTTCCCCAAAGAAAACCCTCACGATTCAAATATATGGATGAAGTTCATCGTTAAGTAACGTCATCGCTTCTACTCGGTGAGTGTGTATTTGAACCTCATACTGCGAAGGATATCACCCAGCTTGGGCGCTTCCCTCTGAGTGTTAATTTTTTGGGTTCCTCGATTCGAACATCGCTGGTCACCCCATGGCTGGGTATGATGAATATTCATGCACAACCTACGGTACGGCGTCCTGTAGGCTAGTAAAGACATAATCAACGTGGGTGGCAATATATCAGTCGTAAACACTAAAACTTATCGGTCATACAATAATCAGGGAAGAAATCTCCAAATGAATGGAAAAAAGAGAGACGAAGCGTCAAAAAGTCCTATGGCTGTAAGGAAGATCATCAAGAACAAGGCGCCCATCCCATTGAAGAGTGTCGAATAGAACAGATCTGAGCATTGTGTTGGTTCTGCACGCAGCAATTGCCACAGTCCGATAAAGCGTAACTGGTGGTCTAACAATTCTGATTCCATGGTCATCTAGATTCGACTACGGAGCGGAAGCACCCACATTGAGCGGTCTGAAGACAGAATATAAGTGAACAATCTCTTGGTCACGGATGCAATCCATTGTATGGCAGAAAATTCTACAGAAGGAAGCAAAGTCCGCGTAGCCAGATTTCGCTAGTGACCTGAGGTCTACTGAATCCTATGAAGTTGAAATTGCGTTTCGAGTATCCACCAATTTTGGAGTGGTCTGCGAATGACTATTCAAGATATCGGGAATTTTCGCTACTAGTTAAGTTAAATTTCAGACTGGGTTGGGTGGGAATAGAGATCTTGGTGTTTTAAAAGTGAAATGAAAGAAAAGAAGAAACTAAACATGACGTTAACAGGCTCTATTTGGGGCACCAACCTATTCCCACAATTTGTTATAAGACGACAACCAGAACTTTGAGAGATATTCGGTGTAAATTCCACTATATTGAAACAACTGGACGAACCAAGTCGGAGATTAGTGAGTATCTCGAGAAAGCTCTCGCACGTTTGTGCAACTTTTCCACACCTGGTACACTGACTTTGCATCCTATGCACCAAACCCGAAGGATGTAGGACACGCCCCTTTCCGTGTAGGGGCGTTCCCATGGGGAAACGTTCCCCGTCCCTACAAATGCCGGGGCTTGAGCTCAGCTTCTGTGCAGCGGGGATCTGAACCAAAAGAACAACTCAAGAGCCATTTACATGTATTTGGACCCACTAGTTCTGCTGCTCAAAGTTCTGCAGTGGTTTAGAGGATGACGCGTCTCTCGCAGGAGAAGTGATGTAGCAACAGGAGCCGACGTTCGATCCGAAATACCTAGTGGAAAAGGTCGTAAGGCTTGTGCCGTAAATCCCTCGTAAAGTTTGCTTTGTGAAATGAGACAGGGTCTTCGTTTGGATACCCTAGCCTTGATGATGGAGGGCTTTCGACGGCAAAATTCATTTGACAGCAAAATTGGCGGGTAAGAACTAAGAAAAGTATTAGTCAATCGGTTTACGTGTGTCAAAAAATGTGGATGACTAAAATGAGAGGGAGATCGAAAACCGAAAGCTTGCAAAAGACTGCTAGTAATTCCTAGAGAGCATGAACCGAATCAGAAAGGATTTTCCAGTGAAAGAGAAATTCGACATGGAAAAACTTCTTTCGATCTTGATTTTTCGCATAAGCAACCCCCTTTTTGAATTCTGAGATACAACGAGCTAGAAGCTAGAAATAGGCAGTAGTATATATAAGGAAGGTGGTGAACATTCGGCTCAAGAGCTAATTGCTGCTCTTTTTTCAATAGAGGCCCATATTTTCTGTAGTGGTTAGGAACAGAGTTTTCCGATACCGAAAAGCCGGAAGGCCACAAGAAATCTCAGTGTGGTGACTACAATATGCTACTTATAATGTCGTTATGTTCCACAATAAGCTCCGCGTTCCTGTATTAATCTGTTCTGTCAATTGACAACTCTTAGGGGAGCGAACACTCAGCTGGGAACGAGACTTGACCAAGTCACTATCTGAACGGGTTTTTTTTCACCCAAATGCTTCAGGCATTATCAGTGTGCTCCTAGTGCACCAAAACCCTGTTCTGTTTATACGAGCCAGCTAGGCACAGAAACATCAGGGCTGCAATATATTTATCCCCGCCACACGACTGAAATCACATGCATGAGCTGAAGAATTGCGATCAGTAAGTTGTACTGAGCCGCCTTGTTTCATCGTGACCAGCCTTGTGAAATCGGTGTACATTTATTTCACGTCATTAGCATGAGTCAACTGCTGTTTCAAAATGTTTCCTTATGGCGAGCTCTGTTCATCCACATCTGTTGTGCTAGCCGGGAAAGCAATGCTGAACGCCAGTCAGCTAGAAAGTGTGTGTGTGTGTGTCGATGAAGCGAGTGAGGAAATATACTATATGCAGCAGCACTGCCTAAACTGATGCAAACCCATCAACTTGGCTCGTGTAAGGTGGCTACAAATCTGAAGAATCGATGAGAAGTGGTCTGACCTCAACCACAGGGCGAAAAATCAATACCATTAGATAGACGCGAATGACTGCGTATTTTGACCGACACAACCAGGGTTTGAACTATTCAGACAGAGTTTAAATGTGAGGAAGTGTGCGCTTGAGACGACAAATCCTGTGGGGAAGGACAACTTTTGTCTGTCCCATCGATATTGACTCTATTCTAATGTTCCGTTACACCGTAATAAGCTTCAGGATGGCTTATTTGGCATAAACGCGTAGGTCCATTGCAGCTCATCCACTCAACTGAATCACAGTCGCCTCTAGCAGATTCCACGTCAAGGTTATCCCAAAAAAGTCAAACTAGTCTTTCCGTTTTCGAGAAATACACTCATTTGCAAATCAGTGTGGTTTTCACGGGAGGTTCAACTGAATCTCTCGTTTAGGATACTCTACAACTGAATGTGCTGCACACAGGCCGCGTCATGATTCAGTTGGCAGGATATTCGAGATATCGCAGTATATTTTCATTAAGGAAGCTACTCACAAGGTTGCTGAAGTTGCTTCCAGTTATCTTATGAGCTTTGCAATCTTTACCCATTACCCCTCCTCCAGCTTCAACGTATGCGTTGAATTAAGCGTTAAAATTCATGTTTAACACTGACAATCGAAATTATAGGTCATTATAAAAACAGCCACGTATTACACCAATAAATCATTTGCATACGAATTAGTGCAAATTGGAGGTTCGAAAGATTTTCGAACGATACTGACGTTCTTTGTGTTATTTTCCATGCTAATTAAGAAAAACAACGAGGCATACATAATGAGCAGCCAATAGTGGCCGAATTTCGACCAGTTTTATTAAACTAGCTATAAAAAATAACCGTGTACTTTTTCACATGATCCTGGTCAAAAATTCTACCAACAGGAGAATGTCATGGAAAGCAAGTATGAAGTCTGTGAAGATGAAAGTGGACGCTATTTTAAAGATGACTCACTCTCGATTGGCTCCATTGCTCTCGAAACGGGCTTTATTTTTGCCTGAAGAATGAAGGTTACACGAATAATTTACAAACTGGTGTGGACTGGTGAAGGAAAATTTATCGGGTACGAATTATGGGATCCTTTTGAGGAACACATTTATGAATCCAGCGTGGTTCGCTTCGGTCTCATTTGGAAGATCTTCCCCCTGTCCCGGTGTGATTAGCCTGGCTAAACCATGCTCCAAGACAGAAAGTCTATTCAGCCAAAAGTTAATGAGAAATTTTCTAGAGATCTCGCAAAGACTTACTAGTTCTCAAACGTCATAGGCGTAATACGCTACTTATAAGGTTGCTGAAAATTCTTCGAAACGCCATAAACAAGAGATTTAGCTGGGTTCCATGTGAGTCTCTCGCAAAACCAAATTTGTTTGCAAATGAGTGTATTTCAAACCTAACTTTACGACAGTACTCACTAAAACTCCTATTAAAATCACTAAGTGTGAGGATACCACTGTATATTCGGGAAAACCTGTCTGTGGTTTTTTATAGGATTACTTAAATGAACACTGGGGAGTAGGCACATCCTCGCTGAATCTTCGTGTACGGTGATTGAATAGCCATTATCCTGAGGGCAGCAGAAAAATCCGTGACCCAGCGTGTGCTAATATAACCTCATTACCAGGGACAGGGAAACGACGTGGTTCGATTGCAACAACCTAGTGCACACAAAAGTGAGCCCTTGGCAGAAATATTCACTTTAAATGGACGAAAGTTCTGAACGAAAAAATAAATCCATTGAAGTGCCATGTTTTTTTTGTTTGTTTGAAAAGATTGTAAAATGCCGGCTGGAAGCACAGATGTGAACCACTCCAAGGTCGGGGCGACTGAGAGACCAGGGGAAGAGGATATTGCATTCAAGACCTCGCGCCTTGAACTCCGTGTGATTGTTGGTCTTTCCCAAAGAGAGTGGCTCCCAAAAGTTTTAGCCCAATTACTCTGGTTGGAACCGTGCCCTGTCATGGAGCCCCGCAACTGCTTACACCAAATAGGATTTTTTCATCAAGTTTCAAGCGTTAATGCTTTAGCTGACTGGCAGTTTCTGGATCAGCGTTGAGCAGACTGACCACATCGGTGAAGTGTTATCACGTCCGTTTGTTCGGACGTGATAATCCAGGTGCATCCAGTATGCGCTAGTAGAGTAATGGTGAGATGCTCACCCCACATGTCAGATCTTCGGCATCCGTTCATTCAGCTGTAGCACCCTTTCGATGCCAAACTGCCATGCCACCCGAAGACTGCATGAGGGCTGGGATACTGTCGGGTTGCTCAAGCCTAGACAAAGGAAGTCGACAGGCAGAGGTCGGGTTCGAACCACGGACGTTTCGGCCAGTAAATCCATGCTCTAACCAGTTGGGCCATCTCGACCCCATGGGCCATCTTGCCATCTCGGCATCCATGGATATATACTGCCTGTAAGTTATACCAAGAAGGAAATTCGAGACCAGTGCTCCACCCAATTTGGTGTGGATGAACCGGACAGAATAAATGATCAAGTGAGGACAATGATAGGACAAGGCCTACAAATTCCGAAGCTACCCAAAACTACAAATTAGCAGAACCGCTCCAAGTCACTTTTACAATCCAACTTATAAAATATAGAATTCCCTCTCCCTAAAGGAAGTACGCCCGTTCAAACTTAACCATCCAGTTTTGCACATAGAAATTTAAGAAATCCCACGCAATAGACATATTCAAAAGTAATAACGGATTAAACGACAAACAAGTTCCAAACTGCGGGCCAGTCGGCACAATAACTAAGTTCATGGCTGACTCCGGTTCAATCTCCTGTTGTATTTCCTTGAAAGAACAGTTGAAGGAAATCGTTACAACCTATGGAGACTTATTTTCAGAGACAGAGACGTTGAAGATGCTTTGAAACCTACTCAGCACGTTGCGTGATGCTGAGCAACATGCTGTACTTCGAAAGAGCTGAGATATTACTGTTGGATGATGAAACATGGGTTATCAGGGCATACTATGCTGGCTAGAATGATGACGCCAACGCTGATTACGTTTGTAACACGGTGGGGAGAGGTAGGAGCAGAGGGAAATGACGTCCCAATGGAAACCGATCTCGATGTAAGATGACGTGTGAAGTTGCTCAGTTTTTATGTGTGGTACTCCCAACCTTGCTGGGTTTTTTTCAAGTATCTCGAGCATCTACTTTTTCCTCAGTCGCTCATTTCTGGAGCTTGCATAAAACAGGCTATTGAAGAAGTACGGCTATCTGACTTGCGGTCGATAGTATTGCAAATCCAATCCGACCGCTACACGTAGCACTACGTATTGAGAAATCGAACGAATGAATAACAATCAATTTGCCCGGTGTACACAAAACAATTAGGGCGGAAACCAGCCTAATATGTAGGTCATGGGCATCGGTCTCTCTTTGAAGCTATTTTGTGGACATATCAAATTAGACTAACAAAGACCAACTGATTCCTTAGGATCACACGAAGTGGCGGTAAACTTGTGATTATGTTGAAGAGGAACAGTGTCCAGATTTGGAATTATTCATTCTACCAGACATGCAGCTTACCATGCGTCGCCGATTCGCGTGATCAACCATATCCAGTAGGGGATAAGCTGCTCTGACATCGTCCAAACAAACCGCGTTAAGAAAGCCTAATCTAAAAATTGGAAAGAGAACACCAAAAACAAAGTTCATTTCTAGCTATGCCTGACGTTGAATCCGCATGTGCTAAGAAGACAAATCACGTGATATTGTGCTTTGATGCCCTGACAGAATAAATGTCACCTTAAATCTTCTTTTCATAAAGGAAACTATTCATAAGGTTGCTGAAAACTCTTCGACAGCCCATGACCGGTTCCGCCCTTCTTGGGGCTCATCAGGTTAGGTGCAGTCTCCAAGTTTCCGTCAACCTTATGATCTACTTGAACCCGAATTGGACTGTTTTCGTGGAATACACTCATTTGCAAATCTGCTGCAAAAATCAATGGTCCCCAACGTCCCAAATCGTACGGTTTCGGTAGTCTATCGATCCTTGTTGACAAACTACCACCGCATACAACATGAAATATATAGGATCAACGACTAACCATAAAGGTTGGAGGAACGCCCAGATGTATACAATATGAAAGAAGAGAAATTGGCAAGGAATCGAACCCACTGTCGTAACGTGGATTCCGTACCACACCAGGGGTTCACACGTTGTTCCCTGTGTATTTACCTAAAAGACTAAAATCTGGGGACTGTCTTGTTCACTCATGAAATAGTTGAGCATATGTGCCAAGAGGAAAGAGTCTTTATTGAAGAAATACGAAGAAAATACAACGCACGAGGGAAAATAAGTTTGTGAATCTGAAATCAGAAGTTCAATCATAGATAATGAAGATTAAAAGATAAACACCGCGGCTAGAGAGCAACGCCTTAACTTTCTGCTCATTGGAAAGGTGCAATCATCTTTTACTGTGTTTTCCGTTCACACTCTGTATTAATTCAAATTCTGGTAAAACCCACTCTAGTTTTCACCAACTAAAACACAACTTTGACATTTGACAATTCTAGTTTTCACGAGGTGTGTTGGCGCTTGCCATGTGAATGAAACGCATACATACATACATACATACATCACTAATATACTTAGGGCGTAACCAAACCACTGTGACGTCAACTTTGTGATATCAGCAGGTCTACGTCATGTTGAAACATGCGCGCATAAGCATGTCATGAAGCACAAGTTGTGATCTGGGTACGCCATGTAGAGAATATTCTACTTTGCAGCGGTTTCCCACGTGGTGAGTTGAGTGAGGACGTACTGGCCCCGACGTAACAGAAGCAAAAGGGGCCAGTGTGCTCCAAGATTGAGGGTGTTGTGCACTTGGCACAACTTCAAACACATAACAGTCGTCATACATATGTGAAAGAATCGTACAAGCATTAGAGACTGGCTTCTCAGGCAAGAGTGTCATTCCAATTGAGTAAAATCGGGGCACTGTTTGATATTGAAAGGACGCTGCGGGGTTACAGGAAAAGGAATGTAGATTCCTAAAACCTCATCCACCAGAGTAAACTCGTCTGCGGCCAGTACACCTATTTGGTCGGTCCAGCTAAATCCTCGTGAACTCACAGATAGACCTAAGATGTCTCCAGTTGATCATCTAACGAGTTTCGCCCGAAAATTGCGAGGAAATCGCAAACGTTTGGCGATCAGACAAGTACCGAGTTGCCTATTATGGCGAGACCGTCTCTGACCGGTTTTATTATTGCAGCATATCACCAGCATAGGTAGATTGCCCCGAAATGACATGGGGATGTCTGTTGGTTTGAAAGATGACGAGCTTTTTAAGCACAAAACTATTCTATTGATCACAAGAAGACCAACACATAAGAAAGTCTACAACTCGAATAGCAATAAATTACACCCAAGTTTGTTCTCTGATAGAACAGTGATCGATTGGAGAATACAGGTCTCTGTATCCTACATAGCCCTCCTAGGGGGGAAAGCTTCCAAAAATAGAATGGGCTGGAAAGTGTATTAGTTACACATACCACCTGAATGCTCGGTTTGATACCACAACAAAATCCGTCTACTGTGTACACCGATAGTAACGACCAGTCGCTTCACAGGGTCGGTCACTATAGACATTGTTTTGTAACGAAGTAACGAGGACCGGGTGCGACAGTGTCTGCCAGCTTTTGCAAAACATCAGATGCTACGCTCTTTGATGTGTAAAAAAAAGTTGGATTTATCCCATTCAAACAAACAGATGCTATAGAATACCTGACTGCACAAAAGTCAATTCAGACTTACTCGTGAGCAATTTCCAGAACATTCTCCTGGCCAATTACCAAAACCCGCTTCTTGTGGTATTCTTTGAACACGGTCAGTGGACTGGGAGCCTGGATCAGTTGTTCTGGATCTATCTGCAAGGAAAAGGGATTAAACATAACATCGTCCCCAGTGTGGAGCTACCAAGATCCGGGCCGGTAATCAATCACGAGGAGTGGATGCCAGACCGTCCGACTGCAGTTTCACGATGTTATCCACTGGGTAGTCAGAAGACGCATGCGTCAAACATCGCAACATCTTGAAGATGCACGACAATTCAACAGAACGACTACATGTTAAGCGCTCAACAGGTCACACAATAGAAGTTTCACAGCATACGCTCTATAGAGACTTCAAATCAAACTGGAAACTTCAAACTAATTAGGGAGGCTGTCATAAACTGGAGGACTCAATTATTAAAAGAATAGTAGTGCCACAAAATTCAAACAGTTGTGGGTGGAGTGCGATCATTATGCTGCCAACGTTAAATCTATTCAGTACCAGATGAGTGGTTCCGGTTGACGGTACTCAGGCGTCAGAAGCTCTAGACAATTTGACTCTCAACTACTTGCTGAACAAGGAGAAAGACATCCCTGAGGACACTCACATTCATTCGCACTCGCACGGGCAACTTTCTCTATTTTAATGCACAGTATACACTTCTAAAATATGATAAGCTGACTGTCTTATGACGAGGTTCGCGAAGAACCTTATTACTTAAACAAGCCTTCGTAACTTGTACCACTTTCTGTTGTAACGAGGACAATACATCTCGCTTACCCCGTTCATCCATTGATCGAAAATTAAATATAAATGATGCGTTCCCCGATTGTCGCAATGGTGAACCAATTTTGCCTAAAGTAATCCTTAACTTTTGATCGAAGACGTTCGCAAGTATCAGTGAATAGACTGCTGACTGGTGGTTTGTGTAGTAGGCAACTGCTTTGTAGGATATTTTCGTCAGTCTGTCTTCCGTTCGAAGCCCACCGGTTTTCACTAAGAAAGGTCTAACTGACGTATGTATGCGGCTTGTACTGCCCATTTCCCAGCCACATAAGAAACAGAGCCCTGTGTAGGATTGCACGACATTTGGTTGTGTTTTAGGTGAACAAATCCCATGATACAATTGAGCGGATCGTTCACTCCGCTCCTTGTTGTGTACTACACCATCTCCCGTCACATTCAGCATGCTTTGTATGAAAAAAATAGCGTAAGTGTAACGTGCGAAAGATTATTTTACATAACGACGACCAACAAGGACAACAGCATTCCTCTTCACAACAATTTAATGTGTGGTTCTTCTGAATAACACCATTTTTGAGGTTTTCGTTCCTTCACCCGAAACGGATATCAGTTGTATCCAACTAACAGACTGAAACCAGCTATCCAGAAATGTTTGGAATCCACGCTTCCAATACCAAACTGAACCTCTCATTTGGGATATTCTTCAACCGGATGTGTTGCACAGCCCCATGCTTCAGATATTTGAGATGAGGAAGAGCCCCCGGCCAGCTTATGACTAGTGCACAATATCAAGTACTGAGGAGAGTTTCTTCTAACTTCTAGTGATTTAACACACGAAAGCGAAATACAAAGCAGTACGACAGAAGTCTTCACTAAGATCACCACTTTGGGAGATGAATAAAAGCGGTATCAATAAGAGATAATAATTGATCAACTGTAGCACCCTTTCGGTGCCTAGCTACCATGCGAATGGATGGGGCATGAGGACTGGGCTACTGCCAGGTCTCCCGAACCTAGACAGGGGAAGTCGAGAGGCAGAGGTCGGATTCGAACCACAGACCTTCTGGTCAGCAAGTTGGCTCCTTAACCACTAAGCTACCTCGAGCTCGTTTATGAGAGATACTGGTTTAGTGATGATCACGATAATCTGACAGGTGGAGAACCGACATTAGCAGGTGTATTTACGTAAAAACCAATGTAGAGAGAGAGTAGATGACCTGTTGCAAGTGCATCATAAACCTGACCACCTGTTATTGACCAGTCTTCATCCTGATGTAAGGGTCTTACAACACCCGACTTTGACAAACCTGCTCCAGATCAAGTCAATCCAACAACTAACAATGGTATAGGGAGCCGCGGTTACACGACAACTCCTCTCTACAAGAGGAGAAGCCATCTAAGAAATAGTTTGAAGCAGTAGTTTTACCTTTTCTTTGTGATACCAGTCTGTCATGAACTAAACTTCTATTAATAGCATGAGAACTGCTTCAAATCTACAGCGTAACACCCAAGCACAAGCAATGGAAGGAAGAAAAGCGATTGACAATCGACAGTTTAGTCTGTGAATTTGACTGATTGTACGTGCAAGACGGGCAGACCGAGATCCATTCATCCAACGACAAGTCAAGGCATGATGAGAAATAATCAGTTTGTGCTTGTTCAGTTTGTAAAAGGCGGCCTTCGCCGATGGCTTCTGCACGAGACTGTCATTCACAGAACATACAGGTGCTCTGTCTAACCAAGCCAGGATAGAGCAATCAGAAGATCGTCAATGGATGCATTGTTGGTCATCGTGAGGTACAATGCATAGCTCGAAACACATGATGGATCGTGGGATCTTTGGGTCAGAGGAAGATGTTTCATTTGAGAAAAGGCATCTTGCTGGAAATTGCGAGGAATATCAAACAGAGGTATGTCCAACGTGGAAAAAAACCGTCGGCAATTCTTCATAACTCAATGATTTTCATAGAGTATTGGAGTTGCATTCATTTGTAAGTGCTGTCTCTTGCTAAATTCTACGCACTACCTAAAGTCGCTCATAACTCTACGAAACATAAGGTTGCTGGAAACTCTTCGACAGCCCACGTACGGTTTTCCCCATTCTTGAGGTTCATCAAGTAAGCGCAGTCCCCCCAGTTTCCCTCAAATGTATGTTCTACTTGAACCACACTTGGGTGGCATTTGTGAACTGCACTCATTCGCACACAGGGTTGGTTCCAACAAGGACTGCTTGGATTCAGTTGAGTTTCCCACTAAAACCAAATTACTGTGCAAACGAGTGCATTTCGCAAATTCTCATACCTCTATTAGATTCTAACTTCGTTCTGATTCTCTGAGAAGAAACCGTTAGGATGCTCTTCAACAATGCTGCATATAAACAGAGATCATTGAGCTAACCGAGACTGCCAAACGGACAACGGTACAACCAACGGTAACAACCAACAACGGTAACCAACTGACTTTCAACATTCTGGCTTGTTTAAACTAACCTCACGGATTCATCCAAGTAAGGCGGGATGCACGTGAACGGCGGCTCCCAGGATGAAGAAATAATTATGTGGATGTTGTACACGTGACATCTCACTTCTGGATTTTGATGAATGAAACAAGCATGCTGATTGGTCACAAACGCCCAAGACAGCAAACATTTCCGTTACCGCTCAGCAACCCATTCTGCGCTACTTCACACGATCATTCACCATACAGAACTAAACCATCCATTTGGGAAACGCCATCTTAGACTATGGTCTGGTTAATTCTCGCTTGAAGCTTCAGCTGAGTTCGGAACACCAGTAGGCTTACACACGAAAACAGCGCATTTGATCGTGATTCTAATGAAGCATATTTAACGACCATACATGATTCTGCTCAAAAATATAAACAGTTGTGCCTGCGTTACACACGTGTTCCCTGTCGTTTCAAACCAAGTTTCAGGCGCCATATCGATTAGTATGATTCATGGGGATCTAGGACGCATATTGCAAAAAGGACGTCTTCCGTCCTTCCTGAGACCAGCTCTCGTGATGTCATGGGCATCAGCGGCCCATGATTAATGGTCAGCGATAAGAGATAAACATCCAATGCAGGATACTACACACAAACCGAGAAGCAAGCTAATTGACATCCGGCTTGGCGATAGGCAACCAAACTGTAGCTGACTGCGGTGGTGAGATCACCACTCTGACAACCAACCAAGAAGACTGTATTCGGGCTAATTCTATACAACTTCCTTCACATTCTGGGACCTTAATAAGTCCTGGAAGAAACTCATTTTGGTCGATCGCTTCTTTTAAGTAGCGCGATTCCAGGCAAATGAAAGTAATCACACAAAGCAACCAAATAACATCACAAACAGTTGACGGTGGGAAAACTACGCGGTTATGTTTCATCACAGACAGCATTCCCATACTGATAAATTACAAATCATGTGACTCGAGTGATGAATGTTTCGTGAATACTCTCGATTTTGTGGCACAGGCGGAATCGCACAGAAAAATGCCTCAAATTTTTAGACCAAACCAATGTCACTTCAAATAGATAACTCGTGGGACGCGATAGCCTACTAGCTCTGAGATAGTAGACTGCGGTTCCGACTTTGCCGCATACCTATGGGCTAACAGGCAACGCAGAGGTTAAAACAAGTTGAAAGGCAAATTAATCAGCAAACAACTGTTCTAATCCGGTCCAAAGCCTGCCGAACAATCATCCCAGCGCTTCACAGTGTACAAATGAAGGCTAATGCAAGCCAAGGTCATCCAGTCAGAAGGCTTCATTAGTCTTAGTCAGATCAACAGTTAGAGTACTGTGAACAAATCACGACCGCCTGATACAATTTACCAAAGAGCTGATCAGGAACTAAGTTTGCTTGATAAACAGGAGCGAACCGAAGCTCACGTCGATCGATCTCCCAGGTTATAATAAATACCGAGCTGTTCACTCCAGGTCATTCAAGGTTCGAATGAGTGTAAACGGAGTCGAAATTTTGACAAATTTCAGACTCAATAGTTGTGGTCGACTCGATTCGTCCAACTTTCAGAATCGAATCAACGGTTGGCTTGAGTAGAATTATTTACCCGGGTAAACTTATGTGCTCGAAAAGACAGCGACTCTAGCCACCTGCGGTTGCTTTCATAGCCCTTACAACTCACCTCGACATTGAACCATCTCGACAGACGTTCAACCTTGGATAAGGTATTCCCACAAGCATTAGTCACGAATGCCACTGGTACGCGGAGTTCCGTTCCATCCGGATCGCACAACAATTTGAAGGCCTCTTGTGCCTGTGGGAATACGTTTGCTCCGCGACCGAGGACGCCATCAATATCAAAAAGAAGTCCGAATCCGGGCTGAAACGAAGTGGGACGAAATTTTACACGCATAAATGACGAGCAAAGTGTCTCAGTGAAGCGCTTTGCCAGATGGAAATCATGCTGAGATGTCCCGTTGATTCCACCTGATCATCTGGGGATATGCTGTACCCTCCCCAACTAAAAACCTCACTTGCAACGATTCTCTGTCCAATGGGTTGCGCAGGGCTAAGTCCCTCTTTCAACGCAGCCGAATTAGCTATCATTTTCTGGGTTGCTCTGGGGAAGGAACAATGTATTCAGACATGTGCCAGATGAGTTTTGAGTCCCGGTTAACTTTTGCTAAACACTACAAAACGACCAGGAGCTCGTGAACCCAGCTATGTTCAATCAACAAGAAAGCTTTTCTTCATAACCAAAAAACAAACTCCCTGAAGATCATCTATGGCGTCAGATGGCATTTGGACAAGCTGACTGAGTTATATCCAACGAATCGACCGCACCATATTGGATTAGAACCACCAACTAAAGGTTCAACAGTTTAGTCTCCTCGTCACTTAATTGTGGTGCATTGGCTTGAAATTCCTATGAGATGCTCAAATGCGAACAGTTGCATATCAGTATCTTTCGAAAACGATATGATTTATTCATTATGGTTGGTTTGTATTTCAACAATGTTAAAATTCACAGTAACTTCTCTTAGTTTTCAACTCTCCTGGAATAATTTGATATGTATACGGTTGTTCGGAATTCTAAAGAAGGCATATGCTGATGCGATCTTTTGCGTTTGATAGGCAACGCTTGTGAGTAGGCATAAGAACAACCGGACTTCCTGTGATAGCGCTGAGGAAAGCCAAAATGAGCATTGTAGGCTAAAGCTGTTCAATCCGGGTAAGCGAACCAGGTGTGATTTGGCAACCAGCTGTGCGGCACAGGCCTTACAAGACCAAGAAGATTGTTCATCAGGAAAAACATCAAACAACTAGCGTCTGAGCCATTCGTCTACCATTATTATTATCTCACTAATCACTGGAGACTGGAACGAATTTGGAATTTTTACTTGGGCCTTCGTACTTCATTCTACCATCCAGGAGGTGGGGTCTTCATTCTTCATATTGCCTTAAAACGTCGAAAATAAACACAGTTCTCCGTATATATATATATATATATATATATATATATATATATATATATATATATCCAAGATAGCGGGGTGAACGAAGCTGACCAGGAGGTCAGTTAACATTGAACG